AGGCTCCAACAGCAGCTCGAACTCCACCAGACCCAGGCTGACCTCACAGCAGATCTTCTACATCAGCAACTCTCTCCCTTGTTTTGTTCTTCTTTGTGTCTGTCTGGATTATTTCTTCTTCCTTAGGGCTCCTCTTTGTCAAGGCTCTCCCTGGTGGCCCAACCCACCCCTTTATCACACTTATTAGTCACAGCTGCAACCCATTAAGGGCAAGGCTGCTCTTCTTTGGGAATTAGTACAGCTGTGACTTATCAGGGACAGGTCCCTTCAAACCGATCTATGATTTCTCCGTTCCACCCACAGCACAAAACTGCACTCCCCTGGGCCGAAGTTCAGGCTGGTGCTGAGTATCCACCCCGGATCCATGATGACACACTCCAAGCACCCCTCAAAGTCTGTGCTGTTTCCTGGTTAGTTTCCAAGACAGACCCAAAAGCTCATCCCCATGCCCCAACTCCTGTCACCTTCACCACCCTGGCACTGTCCATGTGCTCCTGCTGTGCCCAGATGGCTTGAGGGGATCTGTGGGGTGGTTGGGTGAAGGAGGCCATGACACACAGGCAGCCTGGAGCCACCATTTCCCTGGTGTACAAGGGCCCTGAGGGCCAGTGCTACACGGGCAGGCCAGGGCCGCCATTTTGCTGGTGTAGAAGGGCCCTGAGGGGATGGTGTGTGGCTGTGCCACATTGGCAGCCCACGGTCGCCATTTTCCTGGTGTACAAGGAGCCTGAGGGCCAGTGTATGGCTGTGCCACACGAGCAGGCCAGGGCCGCCATTTTGCTGTTGTAGAAGGACCCTGAGGGCTGTGCCACATTGGCAGCCCGGGGCTGCCATTTCCCTGGTGTACAAGGGCCCTGAGGGCTGGTATGTGGCCAAGCCACATTGGCAGCCGGGGGCCACCCTTTCCCTGCTGTACAAGGGCCCTGAGGGCTGGTGTGTGGCTGTGACACATTGGCAGCCATTTCCCTCATGTACAACGGCCCTGAGGGCCGGTGCATGGCTGTGACACATTGGCAGCCATTTCCCTCATGTGCAACGGCCCTGAGGGCCGGTGCATGGCTGTGACATGTGAGCGGCCTGAGGCCACCATTTCCCTGGTGTACAAGGGCCTGAGGGCCGGTGTGTGACTGTGACACATTGGCAGCTTGGAGCCGCCATTTCCCTGGTGTACAAGGGCCCTGAGGGCTGGTGTAAGGCCGTGCCATACAGGCAGCCCGGGGCCGCCATTTCCCTGCTGTACAAGGGCCCTGAGGGCCGGTGTGTGGCTGTGCCACTTTCGCAGCCATTTCCCTCATGTGCAAGGGCCCTGAGGGTCAGTGTGTGGCTGTGCCACGTTGGCAGCCCAAGGCCACCATTTCCCTGGTGTACAAGGGCCCTGAGGGCCGGCGTGTGGCTTTGCTACATTGGCAGCCCGGGGCTGCCATTTCTATGGTGTACAAGGAGCCTGAGGGCCGGTGTGTGGCCACACCACATTGGCAGCCCAGGACCCCCATTTCCCTGGTGTACAAGGGCTCTCAGGGATCCCTGATCCAGGGACCTCGATCACATGTCCTGACCACAGAATCACAAGGCCAGTTTGGTTGGTAGATCATCTCAAGACCTCTGAGATTTTCGAGTCCAACCAACACTATGAACCTACACCACCTTGTCAACCAGGCTGTGGCACCAAGTGCTACATCCAGGCTGTCCTTAAACACCTTCAGGGACAGTGACTGCACCACCTCCCTAGCAGCCAGTTCCAATGTCTAATCACCCTCTCAGAGAAATTTGCACCCAGTAGGGAAATACTGACCCGCAGAAGAGGGTGCAAGCCATAAAAACTGATCCTTTTGTATAAAAGTGAAAGGGATTGGCTGAACAATACAACTGGATTTGCTGTGACTGCTTCTGGGCAGACTGAGGGCCATACCAGCAGGTGCTGGATGTGCAGGGCTTGATTCAGGAGGAGCTGATCACAAACACAGGAAGGTAACACATGCAATTAGATGACAAGCGAGTTTATTTTGCAAAACAATCACTATACAGCAACAAATACAATTGCAAATTGGATTGAAAAACATGAACTACCTACCACCAGCCATTCAAGAAATGCCTCTTTTATGGTAACAGGCTCTAGAATTATCAGAAAAAACACAGGTTTGTAACAGCAGACTGTATTCCTTGATATCCCAGCATACAGCATGTTTACTTGTTGGCTTTTTCTCTTTGCTAAAGTTGAAGTGGCTTTTATATGCTTGACTTTTCCCAGTGTGAAACTAATTTACCTTCCTGCAGTGGGAATTGCTGGAGTTGCAGAGGGAGTTGCTTTAGCAATCTGACTAGTGAGTGAACTCACAGACACCTAGGCTAGAAATCTACCAGCACTGATTTTCACAGCTAATGTGATCTACTCTTCAAGGCATTTGCCTTTGAAGGGATATATACTTGGGTTTCAAACAGTATTTATTCCAGCATGGAAAAAACTTCTGCTCATGTGGTAGCCAACACAGGCTGCCTTTTGACTCCCTTTGAGTCATGTATTTAGGCAAACTTAGATGTGTGAGCAGTCATGATGAGGTTACTACTGTACCATAGCAGAGGACTGAATAATTAATTCCATTTACTGCTGTACAGTGAAAATATATATTGCCCTTGTGGGCTCATAATTTTCCTCATCAGGTTGAGTTTTTCCTTTACTCTTGCTGGACAGAGGTTTGCTCAACTTTGATTTGTTTCAGCTTGTGGTTACATAGAAACAGAACTCTGCAGATGAGGCAGAAGCACTCTTTCATCTCTACAACCCAATGGATTATTAAATTTGGGGTGCTCCCCTAGGTACCCAAACAAGGTTTCATCATTCCTTTTGTCTGGATTACCTCTGCTTTGTTACACAATTGGGTCTCAGGCACCCAACAAACCTGCTGGCTCAACATGCCTGTGGAAAAGAAACACAACAGATGCAGTTTCCAGGAAGCTGGCTCTATCTTCTTTAGTGGGCATTACATATTTACAAACTGTTGTTTTTAAAACGAACACTCTTCTTGAGAAAGTTAAGATTAATATGAGCTTTTCAGTGAACATCTAGAGTCATGTAACATAACTTGGTTTTTTTCATTATTATTCAAAAGCACAAAACTCTTAATTTCTTTTATCTAACTCCACAGCATTCTAGGATTCTTTCTATGGAAGGATGATAATGATTACAGAGGTCTTTGCTTCAGTCAAAACAAGAAAGCTCATTTTAATGCATGAAATAAATGACTTGGTGTGTTACACACTCTAACTTTGGACTCATAGGTAGATTAACTAAGCCTTATTTTCTAGAGTATGCCAATTTTAAAAGCAGAATAAAAACACTTGAGTCTCAGGTTAACACTGTTTCCATGAGATGCTGCTCAGGTTCAGAGAGCAGAGGTTCAGTAGTACCAAGTTTTTCTCCTACACTGGCAAAAGGCATAGAAAGAAAAACCACTGCAAAGCTAATTTATATTATTGATAGCATAATCAGAGCAAAGTGATACAAATACTGTCAGTTTTCCTTTCTGTCTGTTGTTTTTCTGAAAAAATGGGAAGAAGATTTTATTGCACCTCACTTGACACTGTTTCCATGTGAATTCTTAGGATTACTTTAAGCAGAAGTGTAACAAATACAAGGCAGAAATCAGAATCCTCCAATTGCACTTGGGATGGTTCTAAACTCACTGTCCTTTATATGAAACAATTGACTTAGAGTGTTAGGTACTTTGTTGTGTGAAAAAGCTTTTTGCAGAGCTGAAATGTCATGTGTGGGGCTGTCAGAAGTTCATATTCAGAAGTTTGAGAGATTTAACCACTCTGTTTTGTGTTTGTACTGCTGTAGCAGCTTAGCCAAAACCCCACTTTGGCCCACTGAATATTTCCTGACCAGTAACTGCATTACTACCTGAATGTAATGATGGGGAATCCTGTGCCATTAATTTTTAGAATCTCCACAGACATAAAAATCTCTGCGAGTCTTTTCAGACCAAACCCCAACACACACACACACACATGAAAATTAAGAAGGAAAAAGAACAGATCAAAAGTTTCCAAACCACATCATTAACCTAATACATACATCAAGTATAGCTCAACTGACAGTGCAAAGTTCAGTTAGGAGGTTTCAAAAGGAAAAGATAAAACAATCTGCAAGAATGTAAACTGCTCATTCCTTAATGTCTCATGTACATAGGGCACCAGAGGTGATGATCTGCTGCTGAGGATCATCCCCATCACCAGTGCTCTCTCAGGTAACTCCACTAGATCTGATGGTTGTGCATCTGCCTTTTATCTTTCATGCACATTTTTTCTTACACTTTTTATAGTCAATATAATCCCACTTTGCTCAGATTTTAAGATGCCCTATTTAATTGATGAATCTCTATGACAACCAGTCTAGGGAGCTGATTTTTATTTATTCATGTATTGTAATTTACAGGCATCTCTGCTATGATTATCACTGTTATCTGAGTGCCTGAGTGTACATGTGAGACATCACTAATGGAGTGGAAACAACATCTTAATATTTTTTCTGTGTTTCAACTTTAGCAAAAGAAAAACAATAAACCAAACATTCATTGTTACTATGGGAATGAAGAAAAATATGAGGAAGGAAGGGAGGGAAAGAGAAAGGAAAGAAAGGAAAGAGAGAGAGAAAGAGAGAGAAAGAGAGAGAAAGAGAGAGAAAGAGAGAGAAAGGAAAGAACGAAAGAAAGAACCAAACTATTGTGGATTTTTTAAAAATCCGTAGTCCAAACTCAGCCTTCTTTGGAGACTCTTTGACAAACATCTGGACCCCACAAAAATCATTTCTTTGTGAAGAAAGGAAGGGAAGAAGGAAGGAATCCTTTTTCTAGCATCACAGAATAGACTTGCATCTGTCACTAAAACAGGGTCACGGCTTTTAGTTGTTACAGAAAGCAACTTCATGCTACAATTTTCATCTTTTTTAAATGTATTCTTATGAATAGGGAAAAAACCCCCTGCTAACATCTACTTTTACATACCTAAAATTGCAACACCAAAGGGTGCAAGAGACACAGATACTGTGAATAAAGAAGTAGAATATTCAAGTATATGAGGAGGGCGTATCACAAATGGCCACAGAGAAATATATATATCTATAATACTGTATCAAACAGATGGAAAGAATGTGGAACTGGTGGTATGCACACAAATCTAGCTGCTTAACCAACTTTTCTAATCAGACACAAGTCTGTTGGGGTATGAGTGCTCGCTTTCAGCAGCTTTTTTACGTCACTTCCCAAAGCACGATTCAAATGTTTTCAGCTAGTATTTTTAGTTATTATTTAAATAATTTATTGGCTTTTCAGCTATACACTGACATAATTAACCAGGTTCAAAAAATGTTAATAACTTAATTCAACTTTTTTTCTACTCATTTATACAAAGTAACTTTTTTTTTTTAATTAAAGTTGAATTTCCCTATATGCCCTTCCTTCTGGTAAGCAGACCATTAATTTAACCTGTAATAACTTACAATGGGCAACTTTTCTTTTTTATTTCCCCATCTATCAAAAGAACTGTGAAATGAGCAACTTGGGATATTAACAAGGCTCTTCAGAAAGAGGTGGATGGCCTTCAGGCACATGAAAGGTAAAAATGCATTTTTATCATACTACAGTACTCCATGCAAGACAGAGCAGAGCAACAATAATTGTCCAATGTAACATACCGCTGTATACCCATATAAAGCCAGTGTCTTCCTGTTGTAAATGGAGGTCAGGCCAATTTCTGCATCTATGGAATTTATTTTTTTTTCTGTTTTTTTCTTTTAAACTGTACGGTAACTACAAGTCTTGGGATGTAACTTAGTTTTAGACATGGTAAAGAATGAACGTGACACCTGCTCTGAGCCCATTCCTGCCAAGAGCTCATGCCTAAATATTATTACTTCATACAATGCAAAATGAGCAAATTCATAACCCCTGCTTGGCAAGGGCTGCTGTGACATCTTCAGCAAGGGTAGCAAGCTGGGGTGATTCAAGCAGGTTGATGCTTCCAGAGGATGAGACGTTGCTGAGTCTGCGTGGCGAGGCCATGCTGGACCTGCCCGGTGACTGCGTGATGATCTCAGCCCCGTGGTCAACACGGGCCTTGGCGTGCTCTCTGAAGTTCAGCTTCTGGCTGTCAATCTGCTCCAGGAAAAGAAAGAATTCCACACATGAGATGTTCACTAAATGACCTTGTTATAGATCATCATTTGGGCATCATTTTGCTTATTTTTAAAAACTATTAGAAGGATCTAAGCTTCTTTGCTCCTTAGAAAATTGAATTTTTCACCTTGTTTAAATAGCTACTGGCGTACTATGTTACATTCTCTTACCATTTCTGCCTCCAATGGATGCTTTAAAGAGAAGTTCCTAGCTGTACAAATTTCATAAGCATTGTATGGGCACTGTGATTTGTTTTCAAAATCTGTATTTTCAAATGTTTGTGGGAGTGATCTTACTTTCAGGATGTTTTCCTCCTGTTTCACAATGGAGTCCTCCTCTCAGATCATACCTGTGCTGTCCCTCAGTCCCAAACAAGGGACTTTAGGGGGAAAAGACAGTGCACAAACTACATGACATTTCACTCTCAGCTTAGATGCAGATACAAGATGGGTCATTCCAAATTTCCAAGGGAACAAATTGGTACATGAGTGTGCTTGAAAGAGGACAGACAGATGTTTCCTACTCAATTCAGAGCCAGCACTGAATTTACAGCTCTAGTAATTTCACTGGGCCAGGGGCACAGTGGGAGCCTTTTCTGACAGCTGTTCCTTTACCTTGACATTACCACCACCAGGTACATGGTGGGCATTTTCCAGTGAACCAACTTTAGCCTGAGCTTTTTCTTTGAAATCCAGTTTCACACTCTCAATTTTCACACGCCCACCTCCTACAGAGGAAAAGGAAACACAGATTAGGAAATTGAAATGGTGCAGGAGAAAACGAGTGCATTCATGCTTCAGGTCACACTATCTCCCTTTTAGTTGAGATCTAATGATTTTTGAGAAGCACAGAATGATGCTCTGCATGTTCAGTAACGTATAAAATCTTCAATATATATTTTAACTGTAAGCAGGTGCTGCAGTCCTACTGGTTTTCATGGGATTTAAGCACATGCTGAAGTATTTCACTGACATCAGACTTCAGCCTATATTTCAATCTTATGCCGAGCACCATCCTTTGGCAGTATTTTTTCATCACCTCCCTAAACTAGGTGGTCTCATACCTTTATGTCTTTATATATTTAGTTAAGTAATTTAATGTATTTTTATTACTAAAGAGTATTTCTTTTCTCTTTGACTGTAAAAGAGAACAGTATCATCCATGATTCTGAGCTCAACAGTATTGAGTTCTTGCTTTGTCCCACAACCCATAAATTCCTACAGTACCTGGTTTGTGGTGGATATTCTTGAGCGAGCCACACTTAGAAGTCACATGACTCAAGTCAATCTTCTTGGTTACAATTTGTACCTGCCAAAGGTGCACACATACAAAAATTACAGGAATGAAAAGAAAAAAATAAAAAATTATGTTAAAAGCCAAGCTCTGCAGAGAAAGAGTGAGAGGCTTCTATAAACCACTGGAAAAGGAGAAATGGTTAGTAGAACACAGACCATGCCACAAAAGAGGAAACCTCCCACCTAGGGGGATGACAAAGCTGGGTTAAGCTTTACTATTAGCAAAATGAAGAGGAGGATGAAGGAGATCAGCTTGTGGGTTCTTTCTAAAATGTTTCTGAGCCTCCTCCTTTCAGAGTGGGTGCTCCAGAGCCCTGCACACAGCAGGACCCATCCCATTTGCTTCTGTCTCGATTATGCATCCTGGCAACCAGGATATTTTGGTGACTGCTTTTTTCTCTACCATCTGTTTTTTATTTTTCTGCATCTATATATGGTATCCATTTCCTGTCAATCCACTATGCAGAGTCTGAGTAATCTACACATGTGCCTCCTGCTGCTGTACCTGAGCAGCTGAGGTTCAGCCAGCTGGCTCAGTGCTCACTGCAGAGCAGAAGGTCAGGCATCCTCCCTCCTCCTGCTGCCACCTTGCCATGGCTGTGCTGACCCCAGCTTGGGAACAGCCACAGAGTGACACTCCCAAGTAACTCCAAGATGTGGCCCGCAGGCACTGAGCTGGCAAGCCCCAAGAAGTCACAGCCAGCCAGGAGCTCCAGGGTAACTGCAATGCCACTGGCTTGCTCACCACACCCCCAGTGGCTTAGGCCAGCACTGGCTGCTATACTGACCCTGCCTGGATCAGACATGCCCATTGCATCAGCTCTTCCATCTGAGGGGTGGTCATTTCCATCAGGGCAGTCATAGCCACCTTGCTACTCCAGTGTGCCCAGTAAAACCAGGAGGTGTCTGGTCAAACCCTGGGCCACCTCAGATCCTTATGGAAGGATGCTGTGACATCAGCACTCAGCATGCTGGCTGATCACACCCTCTTCTCTGAGCTTTCTTTGTCCTCCTGTTTTATTTTTCTTCTTCCCCTCTGCTGAATGCACATAACCGAAAGGTTAGCTGAGGAAGAACTGGTGCACAGAAAACGCCCAGTGGGGAGGCTGGAGCCTCTGTGTGCTGCAGTCTCTTTCTGGAAATTACTTTCTTGGGCTCCTCCCATGAAAGAAAGGCACTGAACCATTCTGGCTCAGACTGCACTTTCACTTGGGCATTTAGCAATAACCTTTATTTTATCATTTAGAGATAAACCTTCTTTTATCACTTATAGATAACCCTTCTTTTATCACTTAGAGATAACCCTTCTTTTATAATTTCCTTTCCCTGTCCAAGTTCTGAAAATGTTTTGTGCTCTGTGGGGAGAGATCAGGAGGCCACCACCGTAAACACAGGGCCCACGCGACTACCAGACAAACTCGCACGTGAAACAGCAGCAAGAAGGAAAGCAGTGCTCAGAGGAAGGGAGACAGAGGCTTCTGCCTGCGTGAGGTGCTTCACCACAGTGGAAGTGCCTGTTCCCAGGGTGTCCATACTACTTACATTTCCTCCCCCTGCAGAATGTTTGATGTTATCTCTGGAACCACACCGGGACTGAATATCGCTAAAATCGATCTTCTTGTTTAAAATCCTAACCTAAAAGGAATTGGAGGTAACTTACACATACCATACACACACTCAGTTGGGGGTGCAGGACAAGGAAACCAGGGTAATTTGCCTCCTACAGTGACTCCTTCTTCTGACACTTGTATTGAAATGTGAGAAAATAAACCCTGTCAATCTCTTCGTATGTTCACATAGCATCTGTAAATACATTGCGCTGCTCTTTTTCTACCTCACAAAGTGGTGGTGAGCTACAACGGGGAAAGTTCTATACTGGGAGGTATCAGAGGTGGCTTTTCCCTGAAAAAATTAAAGAACTCCATGCTTGCTTGGACTGGGCCTGGTCTTTGGACAGCCTGTCCTAGGGTCTATTGAGTGATGTTCAGTATTTCTGCTGAACGGGCTACAAGATGGGAACCCACCTTCCCACAGCTCAGCACTCCAGCCTTTAATGCAGAAATCCCAGATCCAGTCAGCACAGGCACAGGCTGAAATCCTGAGGCATTTCAACCCATCAATGATGACAGCACCAGGCAACCCCACACAACTGGTAGGTCACCTTCAGAAGGGCATCTTCAATAGTCAAACTGATTTCTATCCTTCCCCCTCCCATCTGCTTATCTGTCCAAGTAAACGTACACTGAAATATGAAAGCAAATGCCTTTGGAATTTCATGCTTGTGCTTTCTTTCAATATGATGTTTGTTTAAAAATGTACCCCAGTACTATATGAGACACATGTCACATCAGTTACAGAACCACACATCAGACATGTATTCAGATCTGACTCTCAGACAGCTTCTGGCTAGACACAATTGGGCAAAACAGAAGGAAAGCCTTCCTGGCACTTTCTGAGCACATCTCTCAATGATGGATCAGCAGCACTTCTTAGCTATGGCCACAGGGATTCATCTGCTCTGAAAATGCTGACTTATGGGTCATGGCAAGACCTCTGCACTCCGGGCCTGTAGCTTAAAATGGAGCCAAAGCAAGGTGAAAAGTTGAGAGAGTGCCTTTGATCAAGTGCTTAAAGGCTGATTTGCACTCAGAAGTCTGACAGTTCATGAGTCTCATGGCCCATGGACCCAGCTAGCAGATATATAAAGAACCAATCATCTCAATTATCTCTCCATCTCACTGGGTGAAATGTGTCCCTGTGCAGCAGGGCCAGCAGGAGACCTATGCATCATTTGTGTCCTGTGCTGAGGGCAGGAGAGAGCTGAGGGACATGCATGCATTCTGCTGCTCATCTGGCACAGGGAGGAACTGAACTGATTCAGGTTTTCCCTGATGATCTGTTTCTCCCTTTCCTGGGATATATCAGTGTCCCTGCACATATTTAAATCATAACTACCCTCTATAACTAAGTGTTCCGCAAATGAACAGAGCTTTGTTTCCTGTAAATAAGGGCTTGAACTGCTTAATTCATCCATCCTGTATACTCCAGAAAGCTCTATCCCTTCCAGCCAGCATTTTGTCCCAAGCTTTCTCCCAAGTCTGCTAGACTGGGCCAACAGGCAGTATAATACACAACCAGCCAAGTGTTTGCTGTCTCTGATTGTGAAGAAGGGCTGAGTTCACTGCCTTTACCCCAGTGATGGTGTTATGCTGAGTCCCTAATCCATACTCTGTCAAAAGCCATCACTCTGTGTGGAGGAACCTCCTGTATTTCTCACCACTGCTCCCTTGCCAGCACTGGCTGAAATTGTCCAACAAGTTCCAAATGAGTTGAGAAAGGCTGAGACTGCCAGCCAGCCAGTGTGACTGCAGGAGCAGTTTTGTTTGAGGAATCACTGCAATCAGGAGAGGGAGCTTACCAGAAAGGGACAGGAACCATTCAGACTAAAGAGAAATTTGGCTTGCAAACAAAGAAGAAACTTTGGCTTGCAAACTGACTATGAAACATTTGAAGCTGGCATCTGGAGGGAAATCTTCAACTATCAGAGCAAGGAATTGCCACGTGAGGGAGCACAGCTACAAGAAAATGGCAAACTTTCATGATGGCATTTGATGAAAGGAATTAGATGACGCAGCTGCCTGCAACAGAGGCAGCACAAACACAATGAGTCACCAGGAAGGTTCTCTGTGTTCTAAATGTGTATGTACATCTTGTGTGTGGGTGGAGGTGTGGTAGGGATGCACATATATGCACTTCAGTTGTGCTGCAAGTTAAAGGAAAGATCAAGCCCGCTCATGCTCTCATTCAGGAAAGGAAACATTTTGTGTGTGGCAAAATGAAAGTCTGTGGCAGAAACAGGACTGCTTTCTATCCACACTCTCTAGAAATCCCAACAAGATAATATCACGACAGAATCCCTTGTAACCCCTGTTCTAACCTGCCAGTATGAAGTGGGTACCTTCTCTTCTGATGTGATACTGGTCTGCCCAGGTATGCTGGGAAGGGCCTGGAAGTCAGTATCTGGATTAAGACGAAGCAGAGGTTCCTCTGCACTTGTCATAATTATGTGTAATTAAACCATGGTGGAAAATTAAAGCCTTACAGACAATGCAATGTTTATTCTATAAAACCATATTGCCCAAGCCACCCAAAACTGGCTTCTGTCTGAAGCCCTGGATGTCTGACAGGCCTTCCCCTCACTCTGTCTTCTGCTGACTCCTCAGCAGTGGTCCCAAACTGAAGCCCAAGGCAGACTGTGTGCCAGCCTGCACACAGCATGGCCCCAGTGACTCCCACTGCTTCCAGAGAGCTCCCAGCAGGGCTGGGAGAGTGCACTCCAACACCCACCCACGCAGCTGGAATGCTGCCTGTGAGAGCTCTGGGCAATGGGGAGCATTTATGATGCATAGTCTGCTGCAAGGAAAACAAGTGCAGAAGGTATTTTTCTCAGAGTTGATTTAGATGAGGCATATATTGCTCTGCACTCAGCCCAGTTAACTGGTTCCCTTCCTACTCCTTCAGTGGCCTGACTGGCAATCAAAACAGCTGGAGGTCTAAGGGAAGCTTCTACACCAGAGCACAGGGAATAGTCTTGAGTTAAGCTTGCTGGCACAAGAAGAAGACAGGCTATGAGACACAATATCTGTGAATCTTCCAGTCAGATACATGCCTCCTGTAAAGCAGAATATGAGTTGGATTTCAAAGACTCCCTGTACAACAGTTTGCAGGTCCTCCTCTGCCAGTACTACACCACTGTGTTCATGATGAGCAGAAATTTGTAGAAACACTAAGAGGAAGGCAGAGAAATGGCTAAAAGAATTTAGTTCAGTTGTGTTTAGTAGTTTAGTTCACTGCTAAAGACAACATCAATGTCCAAAAGCTGCCTATGCAAGAGAAAGAACTGGATTCCATTGCTGCCTAGAATAATTCAATTCAGCTGCTTTTCACAAGAGGAAAAGCCCCTAACTTATCAACATCTGGGCAGAGTCCATAAACAGCTTCCCTTCTATGGCA